TAATAAAATAATAACTGAAGCAATAAAAAAGTTGTATTATTTATAAACGGGTCAAGAGATGGACGTTTTGTACATTTTCAAACTTAATGTTTCAGTAAGAAGGAAACAATTTATTGGAAATATTCAAAATATCAGCAGTTTGTACACATTTTTACCCAAATAATTGTACAGAGAGCACAGAGTAATTTTCTTAACAGGACAGAATGGATAAAAACAGTAATTTAAATGCAAACTAAAGACCTTTTTGTCTAGTTTATTTCAGAAGCAAAATAAAAACATRYAAAATTCWTTTAAGRTTTCAAAMTGCACCAATAYGTCYGACTGTCTTCATGSCTGCAGCCTCAGACCACCTGGTTCCGCTCATAGAAAATGAGAAACGCAGCACCTGTTAATAAAACACATGTACATGYACACACTTTAGTAAGACATGTACTCATGTTAAACATCTGACATTTATGGTTTATGGTGAGTGGGGATGGATAAAGAACTCATATGAGCTGTGGGCCTCATAAATGGGCTCATTGCTTTCCCCAAAAAGACACAGCTTTATTTAAACCTTCACATCCTTCAGATGAAAAAAGACAATGTTAGAAACACTCAGTGTTYTGAGCTTCTCAGGATCCAYGAGGACTTCTCAGAGCCACATCTGACACTTACAAGAAGCCCTTTCCGCAGCCCAGTGGTCCAAAGAACCGTTCTGTCGGGAGGCAAACCCCACTGAGACTGGGACAGGACCATGGAAACGACACTGCCTCATTTTCAACAACTGTGGAAAAAAATGTTGTTTTTTTTGTATCAAATCTGTATTTGTGACATTAAGTGTCATTAAAGGACAAAGACATGCAGAGAAAAAGAAACAAAACTCACCATTTAGCAGTAAAAGCACTAAAATCGACAGAGCAGCTAAACGAWACGCAAACATGTTTGTTCCTGAAGATGACGCTCCAAAAAWGAAGCTTCACTCCAGATCTGGGTGTTTTAGGCTGAAGGGAGGAGTGAAGTTAACRTGAAGCAGCTGACCAGTCATCAGGTTTTTGTTTWATAGARTTAGGAGCCTCCTGAAGAGAACATGCCTTTAATTACATTGAACAAAACCAGACCACTGTTCCCRTCCTGGGACCATGGCTCGTCACAAGGAAAATGACCGAGATGTGCCCAAGAAGCTGTTTCTTTATCTGATTTTCCAACACCACCACATTCTTTTCTGACATAAATGAACATACTGTCAGAGCAGCATTTCTGTTGTGCAGAATGAAGCACAGGTTTCCACATAAGGCTTTCAAACTTTTTCACTATCAGAATCATATTTATTGGCCAAATGTGTAAAGAACATGTAAAGATTTTATCTATGGCTGGCGGTGCTTAAAAAACAAATCAATATAACACTTATAAAGCAAATTTAGAGAAACTGCACCTTATACAAGCAGTGTGCTTAAGTAGAGTTTATAAAGTGCAGCTAACATGCAGCATAAATCATTTAGATGGTCTGATATTCAACAAAATAAGTTAGTATTTTTAAACTGGGTGACTCGGGGGCGTCTTATGTGTTCTCTTCTGCAGGCTTTTGTATCTCTTGTCGGATGGTAACTAAGAGATTAAAGACAGTGTCCATGATGTGAGAAGTCAGAGGTGATTGTTATGCTTGAGTTCAAGCCATGGTTTGTAAGAGGTTAAATTTTAAAAATGTGCCGCTGGAGGTGGCACCATGTGTGTGAGAGGCTCTGTTAAGCTGAGTATTATTATATTATTATATTAGGATATTATATTATTATATAATTATTAGAAAGCTGGAGGACCACTTTGTGGCAYGATGTGGAAACAGTCATCTCATTTTGAATGTGAACAAAACAAAGTGGACTTTTAGGAGAAACAAAACAGATCCAACCCTATTTGTATCATCGGAGGAGTGGAGGTGGTGGAGGGGTATAAATACCACAGGATTCACTGTAAGAAGATAATTAATAATCAATGATGTATAATGTTGGTTAGTTTAGTTTATTTCAAACAAGTATAGAAAACAAAACAAAAAATGATAAAAAGTGATCAAAAAGAAAAAAATTGTGTAGGTCTTCTGGACGGGTTCTTCTCTTATGAAACGTTTAGTCTCTTCTCCAAGAGACTTCTTCAGTCTGAGAGTTTCAGGCAAAATTCAAACTTTTAAGCCCTGACTCCATGTGACTGATACTCACATCACATTGCTATCGTTGACACCTAATTAACACTAGTTGTTAACAGGGGGTGGAGTGATACTGGCAATGGCCGCGCTGTAGGAGGGGGACAGCGGAAAACGGAGGCCTCCACCTCTGTTTAATGATGGACGGTCTTTCTTCACAAAAATGGCTTCTTTTACTCCTCTCTCAAACCAACGTTCCTCTCTATCAAGAATGAGAACATCCTCATCTCTGAAAGAGTGACCGCTGGCCTGTAAATGAGTGAAAACTGAAAAAGAATGTCCCAACACAGACGAGCTACATCTAATGGCCAGAACTCTGCAGTTTTCACTCATTTACAGGCCAGCGGTCACTCTTTCAGAGATGAGGATGTTCTCATTCTTGATAGAGAGGAACGTTGG